CGTACAAAATAAGCAGGAAGTTATTAACATAAAATATGGTAAGAAAATATCAATGATTTCTAATGAGACTTTGTATAATGTACAATCTTTTTTTTTGTTTTTACCAAGGTCCAGACCATTATCTTAAAGTACTTTACAACACTTTAATTTTCATATGAAATTGCAATTGTATCAGAATTTGATTCTGGATCAAATCTTACAGTATCCTATCCTACAGTATGTAATAACAATAAAGAATCTCATGTTATGTAATTCAGACAGCAGCATGCCCACAGAGCCAAGCCTGATTGGTCCAGAAGGAATGAGCAGCAACTGTGCGATCTGTGGAGACAAAGCCACTGGGAAACACTACGGGGCCTCCAGCTGTGATGGCTGTAAAGGCTTCTTTAGACGCTCCATACGCAAAAGTCACATCTACACCTGCAGGTAACTTTACATTGTTGTCATATCTACAGTAGAGGTCTAGGATTCAGTCCCCAATTTCAACAGAATCATTTACTGTGCCTTCGTGTGTCCTGCTCTGTACGACTGCTGACATTGTGACACGTTCATCGTGTGCAGGTTGCGTTGTGGACAAAGATAAGAGGAACCAGTGTCGTTTCTGCAGACTCAACAAATGTTTCAGAGCTGGTATGAAAAAAGAAGGTATGAAAAACTCATCTTTTCATCAGTGTGACACAGACAGCAGGAGACACTATAATAGCCAATAAAATGGAATAAAACTGAAATCTATTTTTGTTTCCTATCTAAAAGATCCACTAATAAAAAGGTTGCAAACCCCGAATCAGAATGCTCTTTTAAAAGAGTTAGAATTGTCTGAGTCATAAAATCGGTGATTACTTAGCATGTGTATTTATGAGGGGTATAACCTTGGCACACACTTTTACGACGCCTAATCATGTGTCATTCAAACGTGTTGTTCTGGATCGCAACTGGTTAACGTTTGACTCCTCATGCTGATGCCAGCCTGTATGACTATTTTGCCTAAATATTAACCACGCCATTGTTTGCATTGTATGTCATGGTTTACATTCGGGATTTACCTCTTTAGCTTTACTGAATGATTAATGACGTACTTCTGATTCTGATCACCAACACCATTAGAACAATAACTTGTATTTCTGTAGGTCTATTTTGGTGTATTAAAGACATGAAGCACTCAGTGAAACACCACACCCTTTTACATTAAGATAAATTCTTAGGGAGCAGTGATGGCTTTCAGAAGTGTCTGGGCAGCTGGGGAATTGAACCCGGATCCTTAAAATAAACCAACAAACCCGGTCCCCTGCAACTAGCTGATGGTTTTCATATGTGATATAATAATATGTGACCTTTCCTTTCTTTTCTTTTTGAACTTGGAACATAACAATTTTATTCAGTCTCCTACTGCGTCAAATTTGAAAGTAAAAACTTGTCCTTCTCACTTGCAGTCTATCGTCTCATGGTTTGCATGGACATGACAGTGTATTTACATGTGCATGTGCCAACCATTAACATTGGTTAATTTCAGCTGTGCAGAATGAGAGGGATCGGATCAGCTCCAGAAGAAATATCCCCGACTCTCAGGACCTTCCTCCTATTACTATTCTGGCTCAGGCTGAATCACTGTCCCAACAGGTACCTTAGTAAAACACTGGCCACATGTATCATGTATCAGTCACTTATCTGGACAACTAAATACAAAACATGCTCCACAGATCACGGCTCCAGTCGTCATGTCAGACGCATCAGAGCAGAAATCAGCCACTATCGTAGACGTCTGTGATTCCATGAGACAACAGTTACTGGTCCTGGTAGAATGGGCCAAATACATTCCTGCCTTTGGGGAGTTGCCGTTGGACGACCAGGTGATTTAACTGATCCATAAATATTGATTATTATTTCTTCTATGTTGTCCTATGAGAAAATAACAGATCAGAGCAGCACCTCTTGAACAGGTTTTTAGCACCTAATCAGTGTGTTTGGCTTTTGTGGACGTGAAAACATATGTTTTTGTGTATTTTCACATTTATTTGCTTAAGGTCAAAAAAATCCCATCATTCTCATCTAACACCGACCCCTCCCCATTCTATGACTGAGAGAATATTTGAACAATTGATTAAAGTGTGTGCTGCATGTTTTGTCACAGCTTTACTACATATGTACTACAATACAACATGCCCCGCCCCCTGGTTTGATGTCTGTCGGGACCAAAGAGGAGGCATTGTTGCCTTGTTTGTGTTCTTTATTTGAACTGTGTGTGTGCCTTTGTTTTCAGGTGAGCTTGCTAAGGGCTCACGCAGGTGAACACCTTCTGCTAGGGGTTGCCAGGAGGTCAATGCCATACCAGGACTTCCTGCTTTTAGGTATGACCCGACCGTGTCACTGGTGTATGGTGCAATTGACAAGATTAGCGCTAACTTGTGAGGACTAATCAAAGGTGAATGATTTACTAAAGGTCGTGGTTTCTTCCATTGTGCGTCAAGTGTCTCCTGTAAACAGCATTACTCACTGCATGTGTATATACCAACAGTTGACTGTAAACACACTGTCAGACTCTATCCACTCACTTATTACTCATCGCAATCGGGACAGAAACTCTACGAGCCTTTAACAAAGTCATTGAGATTTGACTTCACTTTCAGTCAAGGCTACAAAAACAAATACACTTTCTATGAGGTTTCGACACAAACTGCTCTCTCTCTGACTGCAGGTAACGGCTGTGTGATACACAGGAACAGTCCTGAGGCTGAGATATCCAGGGTCGCCAACCGAGTGCTGGACGAGCTGGTGCTTCCTTTTCAGAATATACAAATAGATGACAACGAGTACGCAGCTCTGAAGGCTATTGTCTTCTTTGATCCAGGTATTAGGAATACTGTGATTTTATTCTCAATTTAAAATTTGAAACTGCTGCCTATGCAAGATTAGGCCCAGGACTTAAACTGCAAACAGCCTTGGCAGAGACTTTTAGAACTTTTTTATCTTGTAGTACACTTTTATTGTATTTTGTAATCACGACGGTTGTGATGTCAAATTTGTCATCTCATCAGTGTCAGAGATACACATCTAGAGTTTGGTTTACAATCGGCAATCGTGGATTTTGTGATTTTTCTTTTATGTGAAAAACAAACAAGCATTTAAACAGTTTTTTATTTATTGCTATTTATATCCCCAGTCATTTTATCATATTTCCCAATTCTCCACGTAGATTTTTTCACATTCCTCATTTCTATTCCCTGCCTTTAAATCCCCTCATTTTGCCTTCCTGCCCCAGTTTGACCAAAATCATTCCATCAATTCCACTCATAACCCCAATTCCATCTTTCTTTTCCCCCTCTCCCTCTTCTCCATCTCTCATTCCCTTAATCCATCCCTTCACTTCTATTCTCGGCCTTCCAATCTGTAGATGCTAAGTCCTTGCGGGACCCTTCGAAGATCAAGGCCATACGTCTGCAGGTAGGTCAAGCATCTAAGGTCAAGACTGGTATTTTCTTCCATAATTTTTTTAGGAAGTACTGAACGAGCCTAACTGGCAGTTTGGGAAATAGCTGACATTTACATTTCTATAATAACGTGTGTCTCCAGGTTCAGATGAGTCTGGAAGACTACATTAATGACCGTCAGTACGACTCCAGGGGTCGTTTCGGAGAGCTGCTGTTATTGTTGCCGACCCTTCAGAGCATCACCTGGCAAATGATCGAGCAGCTCCAGTTCATTAAGCTCTGTGGTCTGGCTAAGATTGACAACCTGCTGCACGAGATGCTGCTGGGAGGTGAGACCAGGCCGCAGTCTGCTCTTGTAAATACACAGAGAAGAAAGTAGGGTGGAACTCTTTGATATATGTAAAGGGATTTTTTCCCCACTGTGGCATAAATTAAAAAAAAAAAGTTCTGCTGCACCCTACAAAAGTAACCTGCCCCCCATTTTGGGAACCACTGCTTTATATGTGATATAAATTAGAATATGACCAATTCAGTATCTCCCCACTATTTATAAATAAACTGAAAAACTATTCATGCATAAGTATCAATAGACTTGATAAAAATTAATTCAGCACTGATTTTTATTATTTTTATTATTATTTAAGCTTTTTATCCTTTATGTTGGTTTGAATGCCACTGAAGAAATCTACGAAATGTGATTTTGTTTTGTATTTAATAATAATAAAAAAAAAACTTGTCAGCGCTAAATGCAGATGTATAAGATGTTGTTGTTTGTTTTCAGGGTTATCATCAGAGCCCACATTCTTTCACAACCCGGCACACACACAGCTGGTCCAGGATCACATGAATGGACACACAGTAGTCATCAGTACCATGGCTGCCGCTCACACTCCACAGATCGGTAAGACCAACCTAACTCACAAAAAGTTACATGCTGTCACATGAACTAGACAACATACTTTATCTTGTGTTCCAGGATTTTTTTTTACTCTTTATATATGCACACAGATGTTTCTGTGAATTGTCAAAAAGTCATTTTTGATATAGAATTTTTTTTTTTGGTCATATCTTATGTCTTCATCTTAACATCAAAATGCATTTGGCTAAATGACACCACTTAATGGCCACGCAACACTGATGAGTACAGTATCTGAAACAGTGACCTATTCTCATAGGTCACAGAAAATGACTTTTCTCAGACTGTAATGGCAGTTTCTACTTTAAACAAACAATCAAACAAAAAACCCTAAAATAATGTTTTTAGCAGAAAGTGAAATTCCATCTCTGCCTTTCCTCCTGCAGCCTCTCCTGACACTCCTATTCCATCACCTCCACAAGGTCCAGGCCCAGAGATGTACAAACACTTTCCTCAGCCTTTATGTCCTCCGTCCAGCCCACTGCCGTCCTCGCAGACTGAGCCCTGACTGCACACACACACACACTCGCTCTCTCCCTCACACACACACATACAATACAGCTGACATTTCAGCAGCTTCACTGCTCTCTGTGCTCGGTGTGTGTCGTTAGACCTTACACCCACCTGTGACTCCAGGTGTTGATGCAATAATAACTCAGATACAATTAAAAGCTGCAATGTACAACAATATAAAACTTCACTTCAATTGAATGAACATCATGAGCAGTTTTAATTCAGTTTATTAAGTCTTTACACAGTTTTCGGTCAGTGAGACCCAAGGTCTGATTTAATCCTAATTTCCTTCTTATCTGCATGTCATCTACAGGGTCATTGGTTTTTATGTGAATGAGTATATTATTACAGGGCCGTATCAACTCAAGAGCACGACATACAGTATATAATGAAGTGTTTGCAGCAGAAGAAGATAAAGTAATTAAAAAAAAGCAGTCTCTGAGCAAGGTCAATATTACAGTCAAATGAATGTATTTTATAAATAATGTTAGTTTAGAAAATTATTCATATTTTATGAACTTATTGTAAATAGTCAAATTCATAAGTATAGAAATGTACACTATCTATTCAATCATTATATTAAATTAGGTCTTTATTAATTATTGTGGTTTTGTGTCAATATTTTGTATATTTTCCAATTTATACAGTGAATAAAATGAGATTTTACAGTAATTTTGAGTGACATATTTCTTTTCGTTACATTTTAAATTACAGCTCCAATACATTGCAGTACATGCTTTGGTTTTGGCTCCCTCATCTGCCCAAGGGTGTACAATATGTAGCTTTTAGGTGATTTATTATTTAGTGACCATGCAGTGCTGATCTCCAAACCTAAACTATAATTATTACGACGACCGTAGCACACACAGCTTTATCCTTATCAACTGAATCAATTAAATGACAATTCTGTTGTGGATTTTAGCAGCAATTAGCAAGACAGTATCTTCATTTGCTTTGATAGATGCTCCTTTTATACCCAGTCTTTATATTATAACCTGTTGAAATGGGTTGCAGGAATTGTGTTTTTGATACTGGGGTATATAAACGTAAAAGAAATTAATGGAATTAAATGCAGAAGTGTTTCTCAAGTCCTATTATACTTGAAGGTGTGGATACTTTTAAAGATATTATTACAGTATTTATATTAATATTAAATTTGACCTTTAAATGGACATCTGGTGATGATTTATTGAACTGTATGGCTCAATAGCACCACCCTGTTTCAAAAAGAAGAGCAACTAATGTAAAAGAAACAATCTGAAAATAATGCTTTCTGCCTTTAAAAAAAGAAATTGTAAATGTATTATGAATACTAAAAAATAAATACTACAGGTATTTAGTTTTTCATATATTTATAAAAAATATATATGTAAATATACAGTATGTTTATATATTAAAAACAATGTAGAGGATGATTTGATTTGACATTTAGTTAGATGGTCTATGTACGATACAAAATATGGCATTATTATAGTGTATTATAGTGTGTGATTTGTCTATCATATTTGTAATGAAGGTCATCACACATTGGTCACACCTTCAATGGTCAGGCATGGACGTGCCATATCCTAACAATTATTGACAGCTACACTGTGGATGACGTTCACCTGAAGTCAAACTAGTTTTCCATCAGCGTCCATCTGAGTAAACGTTTCCTGAGACAGACCCTTAAAGCAAACGCAGGAGTGTAAAAATTTCGATCTAGAGCTGAGACCGAGCTCCTCTGACGTCTTATGTACTTTTATAAATTTGTGATTTTGTTTATGTCCGTTCACCCTCGCAGTCACTTTCTCCGGGTTTATGTATGTGTCTGAGCATGTTTGTGTGCAGCAGATGAAACCGCAGGATAAAAGTGAGAGCTTTCATTCTCTGTTTATTGTTGTGTGTCTCAGAGAAATCACTCAGGTTACTTATGGCTGAGGATATGCTGTCTGAGAACCAACATGCCCAAATCCTCCCATCAACTCCATACCTCGCTTAGGGTCAAAACAACAGAGGGGTGATGTGTGAATGCCATATGCCGTGTGTGTGTGTGTTTGTGTGCCTCAATGTGTGATTTATTAATAATGTCCATGTGAGCATGTGTTTACACTTCTATAGGTGTGTTTTTGGAAGTGTGCGCACGTCTGTGCACCCATCTACTTTTAATCAAAGGCCTGTAGTGAGGAGATGTGGGGGCTCGCTCTCTCTTTTCCCTCTTTCTGATAAAACTGTGTGTTAGCATGCCAGTCACATATCTCATCTGAGACTCAACCTGCTCTCCTCTGCACACCTCACCACAGCCAACGCTGACAGCATGCTATTACACACCAGTGTGACGCTCGCTCCACCTGAGAAGAACGAGGAGAGGGAGCAATGAAAGGATGAGGAGTTTGATGGGAACAGGAGCACGGAATGGACAGGAGTCGCTGTCTTTGATTTAATTACGACTCTTAAAAGAAGTTGAACATCTAATCCTGGCCATAATTTCAAAAATAACTTTATCTAAATATTTAATTATGTGCAAAAGAAAGTCACTTTTTACTTTTTTTTAGAAATCATAATAACGAAACAGTTCGGAACACTATTGAGAGATTACTTTATGTGTTTAGAAATTGCAAAATATTAGACATCAATGTGTTTTCTTATACTTCCTTGTCTCTCATTTGGCTTTCTGCACTGCGATTAAATATTCATTCGACGTTCCCAAAAATGACCACTAGATGACAGTAGAAGTCTGTAGTTCTGTAGACGTTTGCCCTTTACGATTGTACTTTGTCATTTCTGCGGCCTTCTATGTCAAAAATAATAAGACCATTGGAAAGAGTAAATGTAGAAATACTAAATGTTTCTTTTAAACGGACGTTGCATTTTGATTGGTTGCAAATTAAAATGACAGTGTGTACTTTCATTAACTAATTAAACATACTTTTACTATGATACCAAATGTATAAGGGTGTATTTTTCATATATATACTGTATATGAGGCTCAAAACAAGAATCCCAATGTACTACACTTCTCTTTGAGCTTTAGTTACTTATTTATACACGTTTCCACAAAGTAGAAGATGAATGACACGAGTCAAACGTCCCAGATTAGAGTTGTAAATTGCAGACCATTATCCCCTGCTGGTGCATTTACCCATAATTCCCCTCTGTCTTTTATATATACACAATGATTACTCTTCTAGGAGACAAGGTGAGGTTGTAGGAATCTGTGCCTGCAACTCTGGAATGAATTCAAAAACCTGAGTGATTTTCTCTGTCTTTTTGTGTGTGACTGCACGTGAGCGTGTGCACGTGTGGTTTCTGATTCAACCACAGCGTGGGGAAAGGGAAGGAAAATACAGTGACAGCTTCATTTCCAAAGCTCAGTTCACATAAATGAGGGATTAAAGCAAGCAGGAGAGTTAGGACTCACCCTGGCCTTCCATGACAGCCTTCCCTCCCTTCAAAATTGCTCTTTTCCTCTCCCTTCCTGCATCTCTTAGTCTGAACCCCCGCTTTTTTTTTGTTTCCAACTTCATTTTCATATTAGTTTTTATCCCTTTCACCTCGTCACTGTTTAGGACTCTTGTGTTGCCTGGCTCCCTGGGTAACACATGACAAAGATTTAAAAAAAAAAGTTTTTGCACATGCACTTTTACCTACAAACACTCATGTGAGTCACACAGGGTGTGAGGATGTGCACTACACCATGATGAGGTGGGACCAGGTTAGGGCGATGAAATTACAGGTCAGGACCGGGAGAGTGTGTTTGCATGTGTGTGTTTGTATGCTGGGGTACATTAGGGAAATGAAAAGGGGAGGACCACTGGTGGCTGCTGAGATGAAGACTTGTTAGAAAAGGGGAATATAAAAAAGACAGGAGACACAGGAGATGACAGCATGGATCACATGAGGAGCAGTGCAGTAATGAGTGTGGTCCCGTGTACCCCGAGATTACAAGGGGAATGAGATTGGAGAGAGGGTGATGGGAGAAGAGGGGGGGGGGAGTAATGGGTAAAATGGGGGAGATGGGTGTGTGAGAGGGAGCCTAAGAAGAGGAGATATAGTAAGGAGGAGAGGGGACTTGGAGACACAAGGAGAGTAGAAGAGGAAATAAAAGAGAGGAGAGCAGGATGAGAAAAAACAGGAAAGAAACAGAGAGAAGAAGAGAGTAAAGGACAAGTGAGGGCAGGAGGAAAGAAAAGATAAGAGGGGAGAGAAGAAGAAGAGGATGTGAGAAAACAGGAGCAAAAAGAAGCATGGGAGAGGGAGAGAGAGAGAGAGAAAGAGAGAGAGAGAGAGAGAGAAGAGAGGAGCTCTGAATGATAAGTGTCTCCTGTGCTGCAGGTTATGGAAAGTTCACACAAACAAATGACTCCCATTTGCCAGAGGCGAGGGACACAACTGAGAAAGAAGGGATGGGAGAAAAGAGGAGAGAGCGGAGCAGGCAGGGAGGGAGGGAGGGAGGGAGAGAGAGCAGTGAATATGAGGGCCATGATTTCAGATAACTCCATCTGCATTGATAAAATATTTACCTTCTTTTTTTAAACAACCCTAATGTTTCCACAGATGTGCGGCGTAAACTAAAGCACATTCAATCCAAAGAATATTAGGAACCCTGTGGTGAAGCACCGTTAAAGTCTGTTCTTGCCACGTGAAATTACAGGGTGCATTTGGAATTTGGTCAATAACACTAAACGCATTCCAAATTGTGACATGCAGGTGGGCAATGTTTTGCACGATAAGAGGTGATATTTAACAGTAATAAAGGTGCACGAAGAGTGCCCCCAATACACCAAACAGCATGGAATCAAAGCTAAGAGCGGCTCGGAAATACCTTCAGTGTAGTTGGAAATGAGATGCTTTAGGGCTGGATAAAAATGACAACCTTCACTGCAGAACTCTGAGATGACTAAAGAGACTGTATTGAATGCAACAGAAAAGTACAGGGTAAAGGCATATGCCAGTAAAGGTGCACCACCTACTGGCAGAGCACAGGATAGATGTTTTTATGGTGTGTAGAAAGTTCATATACTTCTTAGTGGACACTACAACAAGTTTTTACAGCGTGAGACCAACATAAAACAATAGTGATAACAGACCAATGACCCAACTGACCAAGTCTAATCTTTTAAAACAAATGAACGGAAGTGTGAGACTGTATTAGCTAACCACTCGTGTTTATAGGATCAACGGTCCCAGAAAAAAACAGCAACCCCTAATGATAGTCAGTAACCAGTTGTCAGTCAGAACTTGGATGCCCCCAACATTTAGGACGACTGGGTCATTTTTGCCTCTACGCCAATCACAGCACTTCAGAGTGAATTCAATTAAACCAAGAAGAGAAAATCAAAAAGATCTGAATGCACCTGAGCGAGATCAGCAGAATTAAACAGCGCACACACATTTTCCTCCAGTTCACAATACCTCCATTTTGACTTTTATAATCAGAAACAAGCCAAGTGTAAATAATTTGCCTTTCACAGCTAAGGTGAGGCGTTTCATTTCCAAAACAACTCCGGATCTAATTATTTTACCCTGAAATTAGAGCCGAGATCAGCTTAAGACGAACAAATGAATTCACTGTAAGCGTGTAATTAATTTGATATTACTATTTACCTCTATGTCAGTTAATTATGATCTCTAAAGATGTGTGTGTGTGTGTGTGTGTGTGCTACTCACTGACACACCCGCCGAGTCAGTCACACAGAGCTACCTTCACTACATACAGAGAGACGGGTAAAATAAAGTGTGAATTTAACACACATGACTTCCTGTCCTAATCAAGGGGTTTCTCAACCCCTATCTGAAAGACACACATGACTGACTCCTTCAGCGGGATACCTACACGCCGTGGATGTGTGTGACGAGACAACCAGTGTATGTGTGCGTGTGCGCTTTCCATCCCGCCACTGGAGTGGTAAAGGATATTAGGCTA